AAATACTAGTCACTAGTCATATATGATGTAGCTATATATATACATGTGTGTATATAATATGCACCAGCTGATTGTTGCGCTATATAGTGGTTAAGTGCTCTGTTGTCTGTTCTGTCATTCCTGTCTCCTGTACCGGTGCTGATAACTGAGATACCAAGCCAACGTTAATGCTGGTACTTATAAGTACTGACCAATGGCTTGACCTTGACTTCTCTTCAACCAACTGTGGCCTTTTTCACCAAGTCAAACGATGAGGTGAGCAAAGATACTACTGTTAGTGCTAGCAGTTTGACAAGTAGCTGCTAAGCAGATCTGACAAGTAAACTGCATATTTCAGTTATAAGCCCAACATTGTTTAGTGAGTTACAGTGCTTGTTTTTTTATTCTCTTTTTGTATATTTTTTTGTCTCTCTTGAATTTGTATATAAATCAAGCAGGACTTTAACATTGGATTGCTGACAAACGAGTAATTCCCACAAGTTTCCAATCATAAATACCAGTGACTGGATGTTCCCTCAACTGCGCATGTGCATTATCGTTATTTTTGGTTATTTTATAGGAATTATCAAAAAAAATTCTTACTTTTGCGAGATATCGAATGCCCCGATCAGACCCCTGTAACGGTGCGTGAGGTTTAAGCCAATCATCACTAGCTACTACTGCGCGTAATCTGGTTTACAAAATCGAGTCTGAAAAAATGTACTTACATTAAATATGCGAGATTCCTGTAAATCAAATATAAAGTTAGCCATGATTTGAAATGTTAATCACGTTTAAATTGCACTAAAACACACTTACGTCCCAGGAGAAACCATGTTAATCACAAAAAAATTTTTTTTAAATTTCATTTTAAATCGTTTAATTCTATGGCGTAAAAAGCAAAATTTCTTATTAAGTACGTATCTCGAAACCACCTTATATCAGAAACAATCGTGACTTACCATATATTTTCGAGTTGATTTTATTTAAAAAATAAGTTAAAAATATTGTAATTATTTAAAACTTATAGTCCCTATTGCACTTAAATCGTAATAATTGCAGTAGCCCATACTTCAAACGCAGTGATAACCATTTTAACAAAAATAAGATTTTAGCCAAGTATCATGCAAGTGAAAACGAATATTCTTCTTACTCGTTCCATTTTTTGACATAATGAATTTAATTTATTATTTAGTTTATCTATCGAAGCTTACTAGTGTTGGAAAGAATCAAGATTTACCATGGGTATTACTAAAAAAGAAGTCTGATTGTAAGGCATGATTTAAAACGTAAATTGCGTTTAAATCGCATTAGATCGCACTTAAATCTCAGTAAAACCATGTAAATCACAGAAAAATTTTTGCCAATGATAGGAAAAGTAATAGATTTTCTTCTCAATCGTTAAATCCTTAAATATAATGTTTAAAGTTTCTTATTTAGTATGTTCCTTTGAAGTCACTTATAATAACAAGAAGCAAGACAAACCATTGCTGCAGCAATTGAAAAGAGAGTCACGAAAATTGGACGTGTAAACAATCCAGGGTATACACAACTTTAAAAGATTATTGTTTGTCGAAAAGAATTTTGTTTGAAACAATTTTGTGTTTTTTGGCACACTATTTGCTAATTTTTTTTAGGTATCAACAACTAAGTATGGTGCAAAAAAGCTACACTTAATTTGCAGAGATTGTTTTTTTTCAAATATTAAAGTAACCAAGTAAAGTGTGATCTACATTGGTAATGAATCACCGTTTTATTGTTGAATAACTTGCAATTTAGGCAAAAGTGCAACTCAAAATCATAGTGTCATTTGAAAGGAGTCATACAGTATTTTTAATAATAAAGCGTTTTGTATGGGTGAATTGCATGCTAACATGACTGTGTGCTCTGCGTAAATTCATTCCTAATCATTACCGATTATCTTTGAATTACGGACTGTGGTTGGATTTATCTTTCAAATTACGAACATTTATGGTTTCTGTGACACATAATTATGTTTAACAAAAATTTTTTTTTTACTGTGATTTGAAGATGATTTAGATATTTAATTGTGTATTAAAGCTTTGGAACAGTGATTTAAATCGCTTAAATCACGTAGGTAGACCCTCGTCTATAACGCAAAGTGTGTACTTATTATGATCAGGTGCAAGTGGTTCGAGGGAATAATCGACGAGTCGACGCCATAGTTATAAGTATCTAAAACATGACTATAATTCAACCGAAATTGGGGTAAAACGATTGATCCTTACAATAGGCACAAAACAGCACTTTGTGCTATCGGTCCAAAAGTAGTTTTTGTACCTTATTGTAACACATGCGTACCAGGATAATAAAAATTCCGGAAAAATCTACATACGATTTGTCACACATGAGTTGTACTTTGGGCCTAGGGTGATAAATCTATTTTTTAATATTCAATGCTCTTTCCATATTTTTGTAGAGAATCGAAATTTCTACTTTCTTCTGGTATTAACGGTCGTAGAACTACTGAACTGACTTAAAATTTTTAAACTAGTTGCTCCAAGACTTGTCAAGGTTAATAATTAACCTGTAATACATGATTCTATTATTTAATATTTGCCGTGAATATTTATGTCAACG